GCGTGCGCCATGGAGAGGAGGCACCCACGAGCAATGCTCTGCCTGGACTCGGCCTTTGCGCTGTAGGGTTGCTGGCGGGCGGTGCCTCCTGGGCGTCTTTGACGCTGCGGTCTCCTGTCCCTCCTCCGCCGACGCGCGAGTGGCTACAGCGGCAGCAGTGACGCCACTGCTCGCGCCGCCGCCGCTCGCCCTGCCGCACTCGCTTCCACAGCAGCTGCCGCGGAGGTCGGGGTCCAACCCGCCGCTTTCGCCGCCGTCGCCGCTGTCCATGCCGCTGCGCGTGCCGCGTGGCGCGAGTACGACCGAGGAGAGCCTCCCTCCCGAGCGAACAGCCTCCTGCTTCTCCTCCTGCAGCTCCTGCTCCCCCTCGTGCAACTCCTCCTCCTGCGAGAGGGGCGCCGTCGGCCACTGGGAGGCGCGAGCCGTGCCCCTCCCACTCCCGGCTGGCCCACCGCCGACCCGCTCCTCGCCTCGCCGCCAAACCTCGCCGCCACGCCTCGCCGTGGCCCCGCCGCAGGCCGCGGCACGTCGAGCCGGGGCGCTCGCCGCCCTCCTCTGCGCTGCGTCTCTCGCGCTGCTGGCGCTGCTCGCGTGGCAGGCGGTCGAGGCGGGCACAGTCGAGACGGGGGCGGTCGAGACGGGGGCAGTGATGACGGGGGCAGTTGAGACAGGGGCGGGCGCAGGCGAGGCGGGAGGCGGCGAGGCGGGAGGCGGCAGCGAGGAGGAGGGCGCCCGCTCAACTGCTCGCCGCGTCGCGCTCGACGCTCTCGCTCTTGTGCTGTGCGCTGCGCTTGGCTTCGCCTCCGTCGCCGCGGCAGGCGCCAGAGCGCCCCCCTGCCGCGCGAGGCTCGTCTCGCGCCTCTTCCCTCGCCTCTTCCGCCTCCACCACAGCTGTGGTGTTGCGTCGCGCCCTGCCGCTGCCGCCGCCCCCGCAACCGCCTTTCCGCCGCCCTCCCCCTCCTGCCGGCCTCTCCCTCCTGACGCGGCGGCGGAGAAGCAGCTCGGCCCGCCCTCCGCGCCCTCTCCCGCGCGATCGACGTCTGCAGTCGCATCCTCGCCTGCGGCCACGGCGAGCTCCCCCCCCGGCACGCCCGCCTCGCGGGCCTCAGGCTCGTGCGTCTCGTCGGGCGAGGGCGGTTGTCCGCTCTAGAGAGTGCGCGCCGCCACCGCCAGCCGCCCCCACCGCGGCCTCGAGCCCCGTATAGGCGGCTCGATGCGGCCCTCGCGGCGGGAAGGGGCTGCGCGGAGAGAGGCGGCCTCCCCAGCGGCGGCGGGCCAGCAGCGCCAGCCTGCGCCGGGCTCCGCCCTCACCGCGGGAGGGGTGGCCATGCTGGCGCTGCTGGTCGACTCGGGAAGAGGAGGGTCGCTCGACGTGGAGGCGCTGCTCTGCAGCTTGGAGCAAGGCTTGGTTGCGGTGCAGCGAGCCTTTGGCCCCTCCCTCTCCCTCGCCGCCCAGAACGACGCGCGAAACGTGCGCAAAGTGCGCGCCGCAGCGGAGGCGTGCGTCGAGGAGACGGCCGCGAGAGGCGCCGGCGGGGGCAGCCACGACGCGCTCTCTCTGTCGGCACTGCTCTCGTGGGAGGCGGCTGCGCTGGGGGATGCTGACCTCCCGGACCCGTCCGCGGCCATGGGCGCCCCTCCGCTCGGGTGACTGTGCCACTCGCCTCTCCGCTGCTCCGGAGAGGCTGTCGCTCCTCTTGTAGGCCTCACATGGCTGGCCCGCTCACTCCGCTTCCTGCAGCTCGTCCTGCAAGATGTGAGCTCCGGCGGCCCTCCCGCGACCAGTGCAGCAGGCGCCGAGCGGTGCAAGGAGGCCATGTGGCGAGCGTACGAGGCGGTGTTTGCTCGCTACCATGGTTGGCTGGCGCGCTCCATGTTCATGGGCTCTGCCAAGGCGGCGCCCGGCTACGAGCAGCTCTTGCGCCTCCTCGCGCCGGCCGCCGGCGGGGCGGTTCGCGAAGGGCTCGTGTTGCGCGAGATGGAGCAGTTTTCTGCTGCGGCAGAGCCCGTGGCTGACGCCATCGAAGCGGCGCTCGCAAGTGCCGGGTTGGTAGATGAGCGTCGCGTTTAGGCGTGTTAGCTGTGTACAGCGCGAAAACCCAAAACAGGGGGGCCGTCGGGCCGAGACGCGAGAGCCTGGCTGCTGCTCTAAAAACAAGGTGTGTTCTTGCACCCGAACAGGACCGTTGTCATGGCAGCGTGCCTGGCGGACACGCCGGAGCAGCTTGGGCAGCACAGCAGCCGCCTGAGCAATTAGGTCTTTGAGAGAGATGGGGGCCATTGGGGGATGCGGGACAATATATTACATGCGAACGGGGAGGAGCAGAGGCGGAGAGCGCGGCGAGCGGTGTGTGGCCTCACCGCTCGTGCCGTGGAACAGGCCGTAAATTGCACCGCCTGCTCGGAACGTGGCAGCTGATGAGAGAGCACCGCCGCCCAGCGCTCCTAGCTGGTGTGCGTCACCTGGCGAGCAGCAGCCCAACCCCCACAGACCCACCCCAATGGCGAATGCGGTGCAGCCGCAGCAGGCCTGCAGAGAATGCAGCAGTAGTGGGGCGGGGGCGCAAATTCGGGGCGAGATCCGTGAGAGGAGAGACCCATGCGGCTGCATCGCGCTGACGGCAGTGGCAGGCCCCACAGCCGCAGGTCGCTCCAGCCCCGCCTTGGCTCACCGCATGGACTGGGGCAGCGGGGGACACCCAAGTTGCAGAGATTGCTTGGCGCTGCGCCACGCAGGCAGCCTCGACGGCGCGGCGCGTAGCCTCGTCCTCATCTGCCTGTATCACCCTCGCAATCGCTTCGTCTGTACTTGCTTGCATAGCAGCCTGCTGTGGCACGTTGCTCTCAACGACAAAGCCATCAACGACGGGGGGAGCTGGATAGAGCGCGGCGACCGGCGTTACCTCTACTACGGAGGCCGCCCCTTTGCTCATCGAATGCGATTACTGGGGCTACGCGGTGTCGGCGCAGGACGGCATTCACTTGCTGGGTTCGGGCACTGAGCAGTCTCGGGGATCACCTCTTGTGCCCTTGTTTGTACTCTTGGCACCGTGGAGTGCTGGGGGGGGCGACAGGGAGGATATGGCCTTGAGTTATGTGTACGCCGACTCAGGGTGTGTGGCAGCCCGCTGGCTGTGTGTCTTGTGAGCTTGTTTGTGTCTGTGTGTCGCTCGAGAGAGAGATTTTTAGCAATACCAAACAACTCTAACACTCACACGTAATTTGGGGCCTGGAGCCCTGTTCACGCGCGCGCGAGACGTGCAGACAGGGTTGCCAGGTGAGAGCGAATGGCGCGGTTCACGCCTCGCACAACTTTGTTTGTTGTTGAGAGAGAGATTTTTAGCAATACCAAACAACTCTAACACTCACACGTAATTTGGGGCCTGGAGCCCTGTTCACGCGCGCGCGAGACGTGCAGACAGGGTTGCCAGGTGAGAGCGAATGGCGCGGTTCACGCCTCGCACAACAGAGAGAGAGATGCGCTCTGCATGGTGGGACATAAAAGAGAGCGAGTACTTGGGCGAGTAGGCCGTGCGGTCAACGCTGCCGCGCGCGACTTTGCGCGCGAGGCGGCGCAGCTTGAGAACGGCGGTGGGCGAGAAGCCGCCGCCGAACGTCTCGTGGAGCAGCAGTTGTTTGTTGTTGTCGCTCGTGCGTGTCGTCATCATCTGTCCAGCGTCCACCCATACCGCGTTGGTGTCCAGTCCGAGCCTGGCTGTTCTTCACCTTTCTACCTACCTACCTACCCACACATGTATTCTTTTTTTGCGGCGACCCTCATCATGGGGTAGGTCGTAGGTAGGGTAGGTCTGGGCCCTCCCGTCGGGTTTTCCCCTCTCCTCGCGCTGGAAATTATTTTCACAGCAGAAAAAGAATAGTTAGAGGCTGCGCAGGCCGTCCCGTTTGCTGTTTGAAACGCCTGTTGCGCTGGCCGCTGCGCGCGCGCTGGCCGCTGCCGGGGCTCTGTCTCACTCTCACGTGCCGCAAGATGTGTCACACACGGCGGCTTCTGCCACCTCTCGATTGGTTCCACTTTCTACGCACACCTACCGGGGAAGGGGCGCTTGGGAGCGGGGGCGGGGGCGGGGGCGGGGGCGGGGGCGGGGGCGCGCAGCGCGCGGCGCGCGCGCGCAACAGAGGGTAGGGTGGGGAAGACGGCGAGGAGGGGGCGGCGGCGGCGGCGGCGGCGGCAGCGCGCGCGCGGCGCGCGCGACGGGGGGGCGGAGCAGCGACCGCTGGCGCGGTCGCTGCTCCGTCTGTGCCAGGGACGCGCGCTCTGCGCCGCTGCAGAGCGCGCGCGTCAGGGCAAGGGGCATGCGTGGCGGCGCGGGACGCGCGGCGGCGGCGGCGAGCAGCCGAGCGCTCCGTGAGCGGTGAGGCGGCCGGGCGAGGGCGCGGCGGGTGACGGGTCAAGGGAGCAGCCCACACCCGGCGTCGCTTTTTGAGCGACGCCTGTGGTACGCCTGCGGCTGCGCAGGGGCCGCAGGGCGGTCAGTTGTGGGGCGAGGCGGTGCCGGCCGCGGGCCGGGTGCAAGGCGCCGGCCTCGGCGCCGCCTCGGCGCGCCGCACGGGCGCGGCGAGCCTCTGAGCGGGAGCCGAAGGTTTGCTGCGGTAGGTAGGCCCGGGCGGTAGGCGGTAGGTGGGGTGGTTTGACTTTGCCGCAGAGGCCGTCCCTAGCTGTGAACAGCAAAACGGGACAGTATTTTCCGGGGAAATCACGATGTCAAACGTCCCCAAATGGGGATCTGCTGCTTGTAGGGCCTGAGTGTGGCCTGCCATGTCACAGGGAAGGACTGTGGTTGCAGGAGAGTACCACCAGCCATCACTTTAGTTGGTATAATAGTCCCCACCTTCACGCATCCCATGATTTTTTTTAGTTTCCCATAAGTAGGGTAGGTAGGTAGGTAGGTAGGTAGGGGCACCGCAGGGGCCGGTCAGGTTTTTGCAGAATTTCATGATGAGGGCCGCAGCAAAAAAAGAATAGGAATCCACACGCACGCATGGTGTACTCTGCCTCGCGGCGCGTCAAGCCACGCAAGGAAGACGCGTCGACCTTGGACGCAGTCGTCCTGGAGGCGGTGGTCGCGGAGCTCGACGCGACAGACCGAGCTGCCGCTGGCGCTCTCGGGCGTGCAAGCGATGCAGTCGGCGCAGCAGACTGGCGCGCGGCAGCGGAGCACAGCGCGGTGGCGCAAGAGCTGGCGTGGAAGGTACTACACACTGGCCATTGGACCGAGGTTGCGCCGGTGTGGCGTGCGGCCTATGCAGCGGCGTGCCACTGCGCGGCGGTGGCGTGCACGAGCGTTGACGCCGCCTCCGAGCGCGAGGTGCTGCTCGGCGCTCTGCGCACCGTCGACCTCGGGCTGATGCTGGGAGACACGCGCTTCCGTGCCGCGCTGCTGCGGCTGGCGCGGCGGCTCGAGACCCTCCTTTCCGCCGCCGGCGGTGGCGGCGGAGAGGGCGCGTCTGGCGAGGGCGTGGTGCCTGCGAGGGCCGCGGCGGTCGCCGGTCCGAGCCGCCTTCCGAGCGGCCGCTCCCTCGAGCCGGCGCGCGAGGCGACCCGCATCGCTCTCGCCGTGAGCGGCACTCCCCCTCCCTCCTCCGCCGCCTCCGCTTCAAGCGCCGCCTCCGCCGCCGCCACCGCCGCCGCCTCCGCCGTCTCCGCCTCCGCCTCGGCCTCGACTTCCGCCTCCGCCCACCGGCCACTGAGGGGCCACCCGGTGCCGCGGCTGAACCGCCCGCCGCTCTCCTTGAGATGACCCGAGACGACCCGAGACGACCCGAGGTTAGGCGCCGCGGCTGAACCGCCCGTCGCTCGCCTACTTTTTCAACGAGCACATGAGCCAGTCGCAGCCGGCGCTTCTCGAGGGTGCCACCAGCGGCTTGGTCCTATTCGTAGTTCATGATCAATTGGTACTAATAGGCGCTTCTCGAGGGCGCCATCGACGGTTGGCCTTCGATGGGCGCTCGCCGCTGGACGCTGCCCTACTTGCGCCGGGCGGCGGGGCACAGGACCGTCCCTGTGGAGCTGGGCGAGCGCTGCCTCTCGCTTGACTGTCATCAGGCTGTCCCAAGTAAGGAATGGCGATGTTCAATCAACCAGGCGAGCACTACCTCTCGCTCGACTTTGACGAGCAGCTCGTCCGGCTCTCCGACTTTGTTGACCAGCTCGAGCGAGCGGAGGAGGGGGGCGGCAGGCGCGCGTACCTCGCGCAGCACGCGCTGTTCGATCAGGTGCCGCAGCTGCGCGACGACATCGCCGTGCCCGACTACTGCTCGCTCTCGCTCGAAGAGGAGGACGAGGCGGAGGGGGAGGCCGAGGTGGCGGTGGCGGGCGAGCTTCGGATCAACGCGTGGCTCGGGCCAAAGGGAACCGTCTCGCCGCTCCACTACGACAGGTACCACAACTTGCTCGCGCAAGTGGTGGGCTCGAAGTACGTCCGCCTCTACTCGCCGCTGCACTCGGATCGACTCTACCCGCACCCTCCGGGGCTGCACGAGGTGAGCAGCCGCATCCTCGACCCCGACCAAGCCGACGAGGCCGCTTTCCCGCTCTTTGATGGCACGCCCTTCATCGACCTGCTGCTGCGCGAGGGCGAGACCCTCTACATCCCACCCCGCTGGTGGCACTTTGTCGAGGCGCGCGAGACGAGCTTCTCCGTCAGCTTCTGGTGGAGCTGACCGCGCGGTCCTGCATTTTTTGTGCTGAGACTTGCTTCACTCGCTTGCTTTTTTCGCTCTTCCCACGGCGGTCGCTTTCTAGTAGACCGGAGGGCTCGAAGCCTTTGTTCACACTCCAAGGGGCTGGACTTGCTTGAGATGATAAAGCCGCAGCTTGGGGAATGGCGCTCGGCGCCTGGCTGCGCGGGCCTGGGCACCGCAGCGGTCCGGGCACACGGCCTCACAGAAAACTGCGGCCGCCAGCGACACCCCCGACACCGACTGAGCGTCTCGCTGCGCGGACGGGGAGAGGAACACACAAAGGGACGTACGGTACGGACGTCCGTCCACTGGGATGAGAGTACTGGAGAGATGAGGTCGAATCTGCTTATTCAAAGCCGCCCACAGGAGCGCCGCCTCAACACGGGGTCTCGGCTCTACCGAGCCATGCTAGCTCCAGCCGCAGCCCCACCCGGCCGCCCGAGGGTGTTCCCGCAGGCAGAGAAGACCAATCCTGGGGAAAGTAACCGTCACGGGCAACGCGCCGCCGGCGCTGGCAATAATTATGCCACCGTTCTCGGTTCCGCTCGGGCCTCTTTATAGGGAATAATTTTGATATCCCTTCCAAGACGCCTGCTGGGGGCAGCTTCATCTGAAGCCGTTTGCACCGGTCGGCCCCCGCGTTGATGCGACTCGCAGCTCGCTCTCGCGACCGGAGCGGACAGCGGTCCATGTGCTGCTGCTCGGCGGCGGGTGGGCTGTTGGTTGAGCGCCTTGGCTTGCGCAGACGATTGCAGCCACTCCGCACTCTCGAGCACACAGGCCTCCCTGGCCTCCACTACTGAGCTACTGACAAGACACACAAGTGAAAGTAGTAAGATAGGCTAATACACAAAAAGAGAGAGACTTGTCGGCCAGCCCCACTCTGCGGGCGCCATGAAGTACGATTGCCAACTCGCTGGTGTCTCCGCAAGGCCTCCCGACCGCGTCGAACTCATCGACGCGGGCTCTCTCGGCTACGGGACCGGCGGCCCCACGGCTTCGCCTTCGGCTGAGGCGGGCAAGCTGCCAAGCCCAAATCACTGTGAGAGTCGTAATTTCTTGTTGGTTTTCACAAATCTCTCTCTCTCAAAAAGAGTTGAGTGAGCCAATAAATATGATATATCGATCGATCGGGTTATTGGGCGCGGGGCGCGTCTCGCTAGTTCTCAGTCGCGGCGGTCGGTGTCGGCGCCTGCGCCCCACCTTGCTTTCGGCCTTCGAGCTAATTTGCACCGGGACGTAAACCGTGATCGCGGCACAATCGCGGACGACGTCTCACGGAAATCAATGACGTGGATTACGTGTATGTCAGAAGTTCAGGAAGCGGACTTAGCGGACCCGCCCAGAAGTTGGCGACAGGTCACTGAGCTTGCCTCTTTAATGATGTCAGCAGAGCCGACAGCGTCCGATCTGGATAAAGAGCGCGCGGCGCTCATCGCGGCTGCTCGGACGGTCAACGCGCGTAAGAGCCGGAGGCTTCGCGCCACGCCGTCGCTCCTCCTCTTTGAGCCCCCGTTGATTGGTTACCTAGCAAAGGCCGTGCTGACCAACCAAGGACAGTGTGGTCCACTAATGCAGGAGCCACTCTCGTCGCTCCTTAGTGGCGACGAGCGCCGCTCTCCGGGCTCTACTCCTGCGCGCGTTGACTTGGCTCCTGAGCCCACTGGAGACCACCTCAGCAGCACCTCGACGGCTTCCATCCGTTCTTCATCGAGGCCTGCGAGCCCGCCAGTATCGACCAGCGAGGCTGAGTCTCGTGTGGCGTGCGACTGCGGCCTGAGCACCCCAGGCGCATGCGGCCGCTGCTGGTTTGACAAGGCGACCGCCCTGCTCGCTCGTCATGGGGTTACCTGCGAGCCACTGCTGCCAAAGCAAACCTCGCCTTCGTCCAAAAGGCGTAGTGCTGCCGCGTGCCCTGACGTAGCCGTGGCAGCGCTCCTACACCTCGGTGGCGGCTGTGACTCCAGCAATACACTCGTGAGTCAGCGGGTCCAGGTTCCGGTCACGAGTGCGCACCCAAATTGCCATCCTCGTGCAGTCTCATTGCATCTGCGATGAAGTTGGAAGGATTACCGCAGTCGTTGTGCACGATACTCGCCTCCGTGCCCAGTCGTTTGAGGAGCGTGACCAGGCCACGCTGCTGCTTGGCGGAAAGCACACCGCCCTGAGACCGCGCGAGGGCGAGGAGCGTGCCTCCCGGGAGCAGCTCCATCACGAGCCGCCGTTGCGCGGTGTCCACCTCGAGGACGGCCGGCGCCAGGCCAGCCGATGCTGCACGGCCCTGATACTCGGCCTCCTTGCGGATCTTTGCGACCGACTTGGTCTTCTTGAACTGAGCGACAGCCACCACACGCCCGACAGGGTTGCGCGCCTCGTAGACAGCCTTGTCGCGGCCATCAGAGCCGAGCTGCGGCCCCAGGATATAGTCGTCCGCTGAACTGCCTTGGGCTGCTTTCTTGGGACTGCACTTCGCTCGGCCAGTTTGGCGAGTCCGAACCGGCATGGGGGGGCGTTGCGATCGGGACGTACGCACAGAGACCAAGATCTAGATCTGGTTTCGAAGAAGAAACTCCGCTCCTCCCGTTTCTCTTATTCGTACAACGAGAGCGGCGAGGAGGGCCTTCAGGGACTATGAGCAGACTACCCTTTACACTTGCTCGTGGGCCAGCCAGACTGTTGATCATGTGTGTGGAAGAGGACATCTCTCAAATCGAGGCACTCTGGAGGAAGCAACTTTGGAATTCTTTTTACTCTGGAGGAAGCAAGAATCGAGGCCCCCCCCTCCAAATACCAAAACCAACCGCAAGAACTTGATTTGCCAGAAAGAAAGAAAGAAAACAGACAACCCAAGGGAAGGCAAAAAATTCTTTAATCTCACCCCCCCCCAGGCCGAGGGCCCAACAGGAGAATCGTGCTTTCAGTGGGGTTGTTTGGTGTTGGGTTGGGTTGGTTGGGGGTTGGGTTGTTCCGCGTAAGGTTGGGTCGTCGGCGCGAAGGGTGAGGTCTCGACCGCCGCCGCTCACGCCAGCGGACGGCCACCATCGGTGTTTTTGGCTTCGCCACCGTTCAAAGCGTGCGCAATGCGCTCGCCGGCATCGAGCGAGCACGCCTGTCCGACGAGCGGCTTGCTGTGTGGACGCCTTCTTGTGGCTCTCGCCGAGAGCGTTTTGCGTCCCGGTGGGTGGGAGAATATGTGATAGGAACGGAGTGTATCGCTTGACGGATC